AGGCTGAGGCAAGAGAATCACTTGAGCCCAAGAGTTTGAGGTTGCTGTGAGCTGTGATGCCATAGCACTCTATCAAGGGTGCGACAATGAGACTCAAAAAAAAAAAAAAAAAAAAAAGGAAAAGAAAAAGAAACAGACCAGAAAGGTGGACAACTTGTCTCTGACCATGTAAACAAACCTGAAAGAGAATGGAACCACAGTCAGATCCCAGCTTCATCTTACTTAAAATCCATGTCCTAAACCATTATATTACCACTCATAAAATTATTTTTATCATTTCATTTAAGTAAAAAGGAAAAAAGGCATTAATATTGAATAGGAAAATTATTCAGATAGCTTCAGAAGTAGTCCATATTCTCAAGATATTATCTTGAAATAGACATTCAAACATACCCTCTCAGTCAAAAGCAAACACACGTCTCTTTCTCAAATGTACACAGACATTAAGAGATGACTTCTGTAACTGGTTAAACATATGTAAGTCCAATATCTTAATTACACTTATGACTCAAGAATAGAGATCAGTATTTTATTTAACTGATAAATTACCCTTCAAAGTTTTTTTACAACTGCATACATATCCATATTTACATTTTACCTGAAAATTGAATTAATAATAAATTAGCTAATGTGAAACCAGTTTAGTGAAAGAAATGCAGAACTCCATCATGAAGTTTATGCCTGTTGAAGGATGAGTTCAAATCAAAGATCATTATCAAGAATAATTGCATTGGATTTAATCTTTGGAGGGAAGTCAAGGTCTTGTTGCTTAAAATCTTTTAAGTTAAATGTAATGGAAAGTAATCAGACTGCTTATTTTTACTTTGTTTAGTGGGAAATTATGCTGGGAATGTGGACCTATTATACACAAAGGATGTTGGTGCTATGCTGGAACCATCAGGCAGGTTGAGTTAAGAAACAGCTCAATCAGCAAGCCTTTACTCTGACTAGGCCAGGAAGTGGTCACCCCAGGACAGGGCAGAATGAAGGAAGTCAAAGCAGAAACTCCAAGACAAGAAATGATTTTTCCTTTTCTTTCTCTCTCTGAAATAAACTAGTATTAGAATTTGTTGTGTCAAATTTATGTCTAGGATTATTTCATTACATTCCACCTTTGGTGAAACAAATAGAATCTTAGTTGCAGTTAGATCAGCAGTTAACATGTGCCGTGGCTACTGTCTCTAAGAAACTTCTGTTTACTGAGGCCTGTCTTACTCTCATGTTTTGGTAATAAAATGCCTTTGAGACCAAGGACTTAAGTCACAGAAGGAAAGGAAGAGCCTACCCTAGGCTGCTGACTGGAGTCTCATCACTCTGGGGAGTCTCAGTTTGTGTTTCTTCCAAACTTCTGTTCACAGGACCAAGTGTTCAGATTGCTTGTATCACCTGGAATGGAGCTTTGGTAGGAAAATAATATTCTGTTAAATATATTGAGAAAATAAAGGTCTAGGGAAAGAGGAAATAGAATAGCTAGAATAGCATATACTTTTTAAAATTTTCTAACAATATAAAGTCACAATTCTACAGAAAATGAGAATCCACCATAGAAAATTGATTTCTATTAGTTGCATATTTCAAGTATAGGAATTTAAAAATATTTTTATCATTATGCATGTATATCAATACACTGTAATGAAATATTGTGCAAGAAATTCTCCAGAGTTTATTTTAATCCTCCCCCCTTGATACTTTGACATTTTAATTTTGAATTTAGGGGAAAAAATAAACCATGAAACATAACAGGGGAGAACAAAGCAGAATAACTTTTAAACAATGCTTTCATTGGTCTGTG